GGATAGTTTAAAATGCCCTTTGCTGCTTGCCTCTATCTTGCGCCGTTTAGTAGTTATTCACATTTAAAAATAAGTCAAATACCTTGTCGCGTTTCTGCTATCCTCATACCAAAATTTTGTAGACAAAATTCGATCTTTTCGAATTCGGAACTTTGTATCAGGATACTAGAAACGCGAGGAGATATCGAAAATTTTTATTTTGGCCATAACTTTTTTAATATTGCTGTCAGAAAAAAACTGAGTATATTTTTAAGATCTATATGTGACCCTCTATCCGTATGCAAATTTAAACAATTTTTTATTTTTTCGAAAAAATCGAAAGGGTGCCTTCCAAATTTTTTGACAAACAATTTTTTTGTCTCAGATCTTGATGAAAATTGGGGTACGTATAAAGGAAAGCACGAGCAATTAAGGGGTAAACTCAGTTGCTCCCTATCTATAAGAGTTAACTTTTTTTTGGTAATTCCTCAGTTAATAATGATCGAATTATTCCATAAATTCACATAAAGGTAGAGCCGGACGGATAGTTTAAAATGCCCTTTGCTGCTTGCCTCTATCTTGCGCCGTTTAGTAGTTATTCACATTTAATAATAAGTCAAATACCTTGTCGCGTTTCTGCTATCCTCATGCCAAAATTTTGTAGACAAAATTGGATCTTTTCGAATTCGGAACTTTGTATCAGGATAATAGAAACGCGAGGAGATATCGAAAATTTTTATTTTGGCCATAACTTTTTTAATATTGCTGTTAGAAAAAAACTGAGTGTATTTTTAAGATCTACATGTGACCCTCTATCCGTATGCAAATTTAAACAATTTTTTATTTTTTCGAAAAAATCGAAAGGGTATAGCCTTCCAAATTTTTTGACAAACAATTTTTTTGTCTCAGATCTTGATGAAAATTGGGGTACGTATAAAGGAAAGCACGAGCAATTAAGGGGTGAACTCAGTTGCTCCCTATCTATAAGGGTTAACTTTTTTTTGGTAATTCCTCAGTTAATAATGATCGAATTATTCCATAAATTCACATAAAGGTAGAGCCGGACGGATAGTTTAAAATGCCCTTTGCTGCTTGCCTCTATCTTGCGCCGTTTAGTAGTTATTCACATTTAAAAATAAGTCAAATACCTTGTCGCGTTTCTGCTATCCTCATACCAAAATTTTGTAGACAAAATTGGATCTTTTCGAATTCGGAACTTTGTATCAGGATACTAGAAACGCGAGGAGATATCGAAAATTTTTATTTTGGCCATAACTTTTTAAATATTGCTGTTAGAAAAAAACTGAGTGTATTTTTAAGATCTACATGTGACCCTCTATCCGTATGCAAATTTAAACAATTTTTTATTTTTTCGAAAAAATCGAAAGGGTATATAGCCTTCCAAATTTTTTGACAAACAATTTTTTTGTCTCAGATCTTGATGAAAATTGGGGTACGTATAAAGGAAAGCACGAGCAATTAAGGGGTGAACTCAGTTGCTCCCTATCTATAAGAGTTAACTTTTTTTTGGTAATTCCTCAGTTAATAATGATCGAATTATTCCATAAATTCACATAATGGTAGAGCCGGACGGATAGTTTAAAATGCCCTTTGCTGCTTGCCTCTATCTTGCGCCGTTTAGTAGTTATTCACATTTAAAAATAAGTCAAATACCTTGTCGCGTTTCTGCTATCCTCGTACCAAAATTTTGTAGACAAAATTGAATCTTTTCGAATTCGGAACTTTGTATCAGGATAATAGAAACGCGAGGAGATATCGAAAATTTTTATTTTGGCCATAACTTTTTTAATATTGCTGTCAGAAAAAAACTGAGTATATTTTTAAGATCTACATGTGACCCTCTATCCGTATGCAAATTTAAACAATTTTTTATTTTTTCGAAAAAATCGAAAGGGTATAGCCTTCCAAATTTTTTGACAAACAATTTTTTTGTCTCAGATCTTGATGAAAATTGGGGTACGTATAAAGGAAAGCACGAGCAATTAAGGGGTAAACTCAGTTGCTCCCTATCTATTAGAGTTAACTTTTTTTTGGTAATTCCTCAGTTAATAATGATCGAATTATTCCATAAATTCACATAAAGGTAGAGCCGGACGGATAGTTTAAAATGCCCTTTGCTGCTTGCCTCTATCTTGCGCCGTTTAGTAGTTATTCACATTTAATAATAAGTCAAATACCTTGTCGCGTTTCTGCTATCCTCATGCCAAAATTTTGTAGACAAAATTGGATCTTTTCGAATTCGGAACTTTGTATCAGGATAATAGAAACGCGAGGAGATATCGAAAATTTTTATTTTGGCCATAACTTTTTAAATATTGCTGTTAGAAAAAAACTGAGTGTATTTTTAAGATCTACATGTGACCCTCTATCCGTATGCAAATTTAAACAATTTTTTATTTTTTCAAAAAAATCGAAAGGGTATAGCCTTCCAAATTTTTTGACAAACAATTTTTTTGTCTCAGATCTTGATGAAAATTGGGGTACGTATAAAGGAAAGCACGAGCAATTAAGGGGTAAACTCAGTTGCTCCCTATCTATAAGAGTTAACTTTTTTTTGGTAATTGCTCAGTTAATAATGATCGAATTATTCCATAAATTCACATAAAGGTAGAGCCGGACGGATAGTTTAAAATGCCCTTTGCTGCTTGCCTCTATCTTGCGCCGTTTAGTAGTTATTCACATTTAATAATAAGTCAAATACCTTGTCGCGTTTCTGCTATCCTCATGCCAAAATTTTGTAGACAAAATTGGATCTTTTCGAATTCGGAACTTTGTATCAGGATAATAGAAACGCGAGGAGATATCGAAAATTTTTATTTTGGCCATAACTTTTTAAATATTGCTGTTAGAAAAAAACTGAGTGTATTTTTAAGATCTACATGTGACCCTCTATCCGTATGCAAATTTAAACAATTTTTTATTTTTTCGAAAAAATCGAAAGGGTATATAGCCTTCCAAATTTTTTGACAAACAATTTTTTTGTCTCAGATCTTGATGAAAATTGGGGTACGTATAAAGGAAAGCACGAGCAATTAAGGGGTGAACTCAGTTGCTCCCTATCTATAAGGGTTAACTTTTTTTTGGTAATTCCTTAGTTAATAATGATCGAATTATTCCATAAATTCACATAAAGGTAGAGCCGGACGGATAGTTTAAAATGCCCTTTGCTGCTTGCCTCTATCTTGCGCCGTTTAGTAGTTATTCACATTTAAAAATAAGTCAAATACCTTGTCGCGTTTCTGCTATCCTCATGCCAAAATTTTGTAGACAAAATTGGATCTTTTCGAATTCGGAACTTTGTATCAGGATAATAGAAACGCGAGGAGATATCGAAAATTTTTATTTTGGCCATAACTTTTTAAATATTGCTGTTAGAAAAAAACTGAGTGTATTTTTAAGATCTACATGTGACCCTCTATCCGTATGCAAATTTAAACAATTTTTTATTTTTTCGAAAAAATCGAAAGGGTATATAGCCTTCCAAATTTTTTGACAAACAATTTTTTTGTCTCAGATCTTGATGAAAATTGGGGTACGTATAAAGGAAAGCACGAGCAATTAAGGGGTGAACTCAGTTGCTCCCTATCTATAAGGGTTAACTTTTTTTTGGTAATTCCTTAGTTAATAATGATCGAATTATTCCATAAATTCACATAAAGGTAGAGCCGGACGGATAGTTTAAAATGCCCTTTGCTGCTTGCCTCTATCTTGCGCCGTTTAGTAGTTATTCACATTTAAAAATAAGTCAAATACCTTGTCGCGTTTCTGCTATCCTCATGCCAAAATTTTGTAGACAAAATTGGATCTTTTCGAATTCGGAACTTTGTATCAGGATAATAGAAAAAAACTGAGTATATTTTTAAGATCTACATGTGACCCTCTATCCGTATGCAAATTTAAACAATTTTTTATTTTTTCAAAAAAATCGAAAGGGTAGCCTTCCAAATTTTTTGACAAACATTTTTTTTGTCTCAGATCTTGATGAAAATTGGGGTACATATAAAGGAAAGCACGAGCAATTAAGGGGTGAACTCATTTGCTCCCTAGTTACACATACACCTACACTTACACATACACTTACACATACACTTACACATACACTTACACATACACTTACACATACACTTACCCTTACACATACACTTACACATACACTTACACATACACTTACACATACACTTACACATACACTTACACATACACATACACTTACACATACACTTACACATACACTTACACATACACTTACACATACACTTACACATACACTTACACATACACTTACACATACACTTACACTTACACATACACTTACACATACACTTACACATACACTTACACATACACTTACACATACACTTACACATACACTTACACATACACTTACACATACGCACATACATATACACATATGTATGAAGTATATACTTTTAAAAGTAGCTTCCTCGTAGACTAGGCCACGAGCCGCGCCTGCTTTGTGTAGCCAATGAAGCTATAACCAATCATTTCCAATATATAAAGAACAGTAATTTTCTCAAATCTGAAGATTATCTTGGAGTCCACATTGTCGTAATTTTGGAAGAGATTAATATGTTCCCTTCTTCGATTCGGAAAATCTAAATCAGCAATGCCTAAATTGGTTAGAGAGGTATTATTGGACACTTAAAATTGATATACCCAGGAATGAGAAACAACCAAATTATTTCTGTCTAGAAATCAAGCTTCAAACAAACAAATTTCAAGATAATCCCTCAAATAATAAAGAATACTTTTATCATGATTAAAAATAAAAATCCTTGTTTATTAGCCTTATTCAAATATGCCATTATCTTAAATAACAAAATCAAAAGATATTCATTATATTTCTGTCCCACTTATGCTTTTCCGAATATTTCAAGTCAGACGAGTATGGTCATTCATCTCTCCTTTTTTTTTATATAATCTAAAGGGGGTAAATGTTGTGATAGGTACATATAAGATTTTATACTAAAAACACAGAATCGTCTTTAAAAAAATGATTTATAGATTTAATCAAGTGAATACCTTAAATATACAAAAAATTCATGTACAGAAATAAACTTAAGGGATATTTGCCAAAAAGTCCTTCACTGTAGAAGGATCGAACCTTCTGAAACCTGATTCATCGCAAATTCCAACTTCAATGTTATCAGCTGTCATCTGGCCCTCGAAACTTTCTTTTAATGTTAAAATTGCAGTGTGTACAGCATCGTCTAATTCCAATTCTTCACTGTACCTTAAAAACAATACAAAAAACATTGAAAACATTTCGAATTAAAATTAAAATCAGAATGCAAAACATTCAAATTTTACAAAAAAAAAATAATTTGATTTTTCTAATAATAAAATGCAACAAATTTAATGATTTTTTTATTTCTAGACCTCCTAAACTACTTGTATTTATCATATAGAATTTGAAACAAAAATATACCAAATTTGTTGTCACAATAAAGTCAAAACTTAGTCCTTAATATAGCTTTCAAAAAGGATGAATTTGATAAAAAATCAATTTATAAAATCTAAAATAAAATAAATAAAGACAAATAGTATAATTTAAAAGAGTTTTAAAGAAGCTGAAGATGAAAAATCGGAAAGGGAGTATTTTGGAAAGCGAACAAAACAAGTATGGCAATAAAAAAACTGCAATGGGAAGGTAGGGAAATAGTTATGCAGAATTTAGAAAGGGTGCAGAAACAGAAAGACAATAAGACATAAGAAAGCAGAGCAAGAAGGTGTAGAAGAAGATAAAGGGGAGGTAAATAGATAGAAAAGGTGCAGAAGCAGAAAGACAGGAAGACACAAGAAGTTTTTTTTTATTTGTAATTGAAGACATGAGTTGATAAAGGTGCTATGTTTTTAGAAAAATACATTTTTGTATATTTGATTCTCTATTAACCCAATGCAACCCCTGAATAAACCAGGATTAACAAATTTTTAATAATATAGGATATTTTTACTGATAAAGGTGTTATGTCAGTCATGCATTTGCCAATTATTAGTAGCTAAAAGTACTATGTCCAATTTGGGGACATAGCTTTACTGCTGTATTAGTAACACTAAAAAACATCAGTGAGGTAAAATGGTCTCAAAGAACACAAAAATAATTCTGCCGCTGGTTTAATAGAGCCAATTTGCTTGTTGATGTTTGAGTTGCCAAAATGGACATCTCACGCTGGAAAAAGATATAAAAAAGCGGCGCAATTCGAAGAAAAATGAAGCAAAATGTGTCTAAGTTATTTGATTCGTCATGGTTTATTCCTCTAGAGTAATATTTTGACTGTAATAGAAACTATTGTCTTTAAGTCTGGTATTATATTAAATAGTACAGGATTAGGTATACCACATTTGAAAGTACCCTTATAGACAATTGGCAATAAATTCTTGTAAATTATGGAAAAGTTAGGCAAATTGCTTTGTTGCTGCTGTTTTTAAAGTATAAATGTTTTATAAATGCTTTTTGTGCAACTAAAACCTTGGCCATATTTGAAATGGTCAAAAAATAAAAAAAAAATTGTGAAATATTGTGTTAATGGTCTGTAAATACCAGATACTAAATTATTGCTTATTAGTAAGAATAATTTAATCTAATGTTCCTTTTAATAATACATTTTTACTTTCCTACATGAACATTTATTTTTTATTTTTAACGTTCAATTGAATGTTTATGGTAGGGACGTGAAAAAATCGCCATAAAATAGTAAAGACTTTCACATTAAAGTGAACCTTGTAAAATTTGCATCTGGGTTAAACGATAAGGTATATTTTCCTAATTTTTTTGTCATGTCTCATAACTAAAGTATATTGCAAGATGCCATATCAACTGAAACCTTTATAAATTTAGACACTGCAGTAATCTAAAGAGTTCACAACAATTTTGTTTTTGGAGAATATATAAATAAAACTTTTTTTCTTTGTAAAACCTGTTTCACACCATACTAATAAAGAATAAAAATGTATTAAAGGAGGATAAAATTACTTATAAGGTTCCAAATAAAGGTTTCTTATAAATGTAGCATCAAAGTGTTTTGGTTCCAAATTGTTTGCAAATACAGTAACCATAAATTTGTCTTTAAAATACTATTAAACCTTTGTAAGTATCTACAAATAAGATTTATTATATTTTGTGGCACATTAAAAAAGCATTTATAAGGGAACTAAAAAACTTTTTTGATTTATAATTTGGTGCCCAATTTATGCAAATAAGAGTTGTATAAAGCCTGTAAAAATCTCTACAAGCAAAATTATAAATCTTATTCCCTTATAAACATTTGCTTTAAGAATATTCTTACAGCTTTTATAAACACATCATGTGCTACTTGAGATATGATTAACAGTGCAGTTATTTGGAAAAAGTATGCACTTGTCATTGTGACCGACATTCGTGATATGTCAAAAAAATATCAATAAGTGTACCTCGAAATTATATTTAAAAAGAGCTTAATGAATATGATGATTATTATAGATAATTGTATTGAAAGAAGTTTGAAATCATTGTGATCCATGCACCACAGTGATAATACACTATGGTATTGTCACTTAATAATAATAAAATTCAGTAATCTCCTTTAGTGTAATAATTCTTTATTTAAATAATACAAAAATATGTAGAAATAATTTGCAAAAATTTCAAAATCTATGATTTTTTATTATTATTAAGTCTTGTATCTATTTGATAAAACTATATTTTTCTATAACCTTTGAGGATACATAACTATTTTCTTACCTTTTTTCCAAGAAAGTTTTCCCATTAACATAATTTTTGCCCATAGCAGTAGCTTTCCAAGCAAAATAGGCTCCAGAAGGATCACACTGGAATAAATAAGGCCTATTATTGTCCCATCCACAGATCAATAAAGAAACACCAAAAGGTCTGACACCTCCAGATTGGGTATACTCTTGCATTACTGCTGCTACTCTCTGAACCAATTGCACTGTAGGAATAGGTTCCTGATACACAAGGTAATATTGTTGGGCCATTTTACGCGCTTGTTTTACTAGCAAACGGTAATCTGGTCCCATGCCAGAATAAACCATTCCAATGTGTTTGGTAATCATTTCAACTTTGTGAACGCTGTGTTCATCATAAAGAATTGATTTATGTTTGTTTTCTGTAGCTATTACAACTCCATTACATGCTGCAAAAATTAAACCCATATAAAATCAATTTAAAAGTTTATTGAACAAAACTAACCTTTAATTCCTACTGATGGTGCGCCTGCCGCTACAGCCGCTAAGGCATATTCAATTTGAACTAATTTACCGGAAGGGCTAAAAAGTTATAATATTAAAAGATGGGTTTACATACATATAAATAAATTTCTTACCTAAAAGTAGTTAAAGAAAAACTATAACGTTCGGATGCCATTATTTCTAATGATTACTTGCAAATTATCAACAAAATTGACAAGACCAAGATGACATGTCAGATTTAGTTAGGTTATATACTAAAAAAGAAGGCGGGTTCGGATATTCCGTTCCGTTTAAATATGGAGTAAATATGTCACCTTTAGGTGAATTTTGTTTATTAACAAAAGAATTCGAATGCCTTAATGTAAAAATTGCTTGCGAAATACGGCACCTTTGTTTATTAAAAAAGACTTTGAATGTATTAATGTGAAAATTACATGCGAAAATCGGCACGAAAAGTGAAAAGACGTGATAGGTGACGATTTTCGGGTTATTCAATGCGCTAGTTCAGTGTGATGTCATTTTGGTTCCACTGACAATATCTACTGTCACTTTGTCAGTGGAACCATAATTACATCATCACTGAACCTAGCGCATACCGTCACATATCCGAACGCGACTCCTAATTTCTACAAATTTGTGGCGCCATCTTATAAATAATAGCAATATTAGATAAACAAAAATTACTGTAATGGGGGTCACTGATTTTGCGCCATCTTCTTTATACCTGCGTAAACTTTGAAGATCGTATTACAGAGTCCTTTTTTTATTTCAGTGGAAGTACATATTTTAAGTAAGAGATGGAAATGCTTTAATGAAAATGGTACAGTGACGATTTTTTGGGGTTTTTACATTCACTACTATGATTCAAAGAATGCATTTTGTATAATTTTAGTAGATACATTTTTTCAACTCCGCTATAATAGAAACTATTTTAATCATTTTAAACATTTCACCTACCTACATATTTAGAATGTACCATACAACATATATAGGGTGTCCCAATTTGGTATGTTTTTCAAGTAGGGTTGCCACTTTTTTGAGTAGTGAATAAAGGACTACAGGACTAAGATGCTGACAGGGGCTCCGGTATACAAAAAGTCCTTATTCTTCTACTGAACTTCTAAAAAAAAAAGTCGCCGAGCTTGTAACAAAAAAAAATCCGCCTGGTCATTCTACCGAGCTTCTAATGATAAATGGTCCTCAGCTTATATATTTTTGTACAAACCATGTCCCTTCGAAAGATATGTGCTGTAAAAAATTTTAATTAAGGATTTAGTACTGGAAAAGTATTCTTAATATATTTTGTATTTTTCATTTGGAGTAAACTAAGATTTGTTACCTAACACAAACTCTGGTTTTACGTTATTATATCGATATTCGATATTATAAAGCAAAACATTAGTTATGTAAACCAATCTTAACTTGACTTGTAGGTTTTTAGGTTTAATTAATATTTGAATAATAACGACTGACTTTTGTACAAAAAAGTTCCTTTTTTAACAGAGTTCCTCGGAATTCCTTCTGAGTTCCTCGGAATTCCTTCTAAATTGCTCGGAGTTCCTCGGATTTCCTAGGCGTTCCTAAGAGTTCCTCCTTAGTTTCCTGGAGTTCCCTTGGGTTCCTTATGACTTTATTTTACAATGTCCGACTGAAATTCGACAATTATGTTGAAAATAAGTCATATAAAAAAAAATATAGTTTATAACACACTAGTGTATTATTTTATAGTTTATTTGTCTAAAATAACATAAATCATTACTCTTATACCTAGTAGGTGTTGGATTAAACAATAAAAACCTCGATAAAAACTCAAAAATATATTTTGTTTCACTCTCCAACTGAAATTTGACAAAAAACAAGTATTGGAAATTAAAAATTTAAAAAATCTGACTTCAAAAACGTGCAGATGCCGTCACCACATCTTAACCAATTTTACATGGGACCACCCTTGAGGTACCCCCTTACTAACAAAAAAAGAATCACAGAAATCGGACAAGATGGTAAAGCATTATCGCTAAACATACATAAAAAATGAAGAGTTTGAGGATTTTCCCATGGATCCAATTATTATATTTTAACCAAATTTATATGGGACCACCCCTGAAGTACCCTCTGTCTAACAAAAAAAGAGATATTGAAGTCGGACTCCGTGTTGAAGAATTATCGCTGAACATACATAAAAAAAAAATAAAAAAAAAAAATATCGCGACGAATTGAGAACCTCCTCCTTTTTTGAAGTCGGTTAAAAACAATAACAATCCTAAAAAGACAAGAAAAAACTCGAGAAAAAATATTAAACGTGTGCATAACTATGCAAAAAAAACATTAAATCTATTCAGTACCGACTTATCAAACATAAAGCCCCCTCGTCGACATTTGACTGGTTCAGGAAGTTTAGTAAGTATTACCTTTGGTTGTAGATCACTATCATCATCTATATTAGGAAATACAAATGCAAAACTTAGTTTGGTATTTGGTCTTAGAAATTTGCAATGATATGGATTCAGGGAAGTTATCTGGGCAAGAAAGAATGACTTCGACTTTTTATTGATTGACGTGAGCTCGACTAGAACAAAATCGTTGATATGTATCTCCTGAATAGTACTTTCTTTTTTTCCTAGGAATTTCCCCTATGCTCCGAGGGCTGGTCACTGAAATCCGAATTATTAGAACCATTCGTAAATACTTCGGTGTCTGTACTGTCGTCATATAATGTTGTCTTCTTCGCGAGCTTCTTCATCCCCATCTTCGTCAGAGGAAGAACTATTTGGAAACTTTGACAGTTTTCTACGATTATATTTTTTGTGTGGATAATTATTTTGTTTCGTATCAAATATTACTATTGGAGCTATCGTTGCAGCTTGAGACGTGGATGCTTTATTGTAAATATCTCTCGGAATACCCTTTTGACGTCTTTTTCCGATAAACCTTTTCAGTCTATCAGTACTAAATCGCTGGTCTAGCAGCCAACATAATGTGGATTTTTCACCAATCTGTACATCATATTTTTTTAAAGGTTTTTTCAAGCTACTTTTATTTTTTTTCTATTTCTACAGGATCTTCAAAAATATTGCCTCTTTTCTTTTAATAAATAAAGGATTATTTTAAGTGGAACATTGTATGTTTATATATTTTGAATAAGCAATTCCTTCTCGAATTCCTTCAAAAATGTATTTTCAGTTACTTTGTTTACTTTTACTTTTGTCACAGATCTTTTGTTTCTACCAGGGGTAGTATTCTCGAGTCACGAATATAGATTCGCATGCGAGATTTATGATTTGTCTCACTTGGTTTTCGTTCAACAAAGTGAGACACATTGTAAAACACGTATGCGAATGACGGTATTCGTGATTCGAGAATACTACCCCTGGTCTTCAACAATACCCGAAACCCACGTGATCTGATAACCATCAAAAACCCATCGAAAGGACCTGATTTGACGTAAAAGGAACTAAACTGAACTGACAGTCCTGTCAGAAATGTCACTGGCGTTCATTTGGGGACTGAGAATATTTATATTATATTTGTTTACATTTTATAAACACCTTTATTCCACTTTTCATTTAATATTAATGGAGCAATTAGTTATTTTTAGAGATTATTGGTGGCTTAATTCTTTTTTGTTGGTAAGTACAAATTTATTTACTGTAACTCGTAAAAGTTAATGACTGTATATCATTTATTTCAGGTAATGTTACACTGGAACAAAATTATTTTATATTCGTAAATTCCAAAATTTGAGGAACGTTTTCCAGTGAATAAATGGAATGTGATTCTTTTTTGTCGTCATAAACAAATATTTGTTCAATATTATATAAATGGAAGAAGCTCCAAAAGGCCCAAAGTAATAACAAAAGCTGTTGAAGATGTGCAAATTAACATGGTGCAAATTCCCAATAAGTTAGTAAAAAAAAACAGCACTTCAAACAGGTATGAACGGTGTTTCAAAGACTGACTCTGATAAGTGAAATTCAAAACATATGTTTTTTAGGTTTGTCGCTACGAACTAGCCATAAAGTATTGAAAACATTTCTGATGCATCTCCCCTATAAAGTTTCGGTACTGCAACAATCATGTTACCTTAATTTTGTTAAACCTACCTATGGAATATTACAGATAAAACAAATATGTGCTTGTTACATTAATAATATTAATATTTTTTTGTATACAAATAAGTAACAATGTATTTTGTAAATGGTTTAAACCCTGTAACAAATAAATATTAGAACATACTTAAATTATTTGTTTATTACTTCCCATTGCTCAGGTAGAAATCCAGTATGTTTTAAATTTGTTAACTTAAACTGCAATAATTGCCAAATACTGCCATTGTCTTCTGCCTATCTTATTTAAAGTTTCAGTTGTAGCTAAATATCTTAGACTCAATCTAAAGAAAATTTTTAATTTTATTCATATTTTAATGAATAACATTTTTTGTCCATAACTTTCTGGTAAAGGTTTTTTTTGCAATAGTGGCAATAACTAGTACGCATATTTCAGGTTTATTATTTTTTTCGTTAAATACAATAATACAAACTAGATATAACAGCTCAGTTTTTAAGGTTATGTTAATTATATCAATTTTAAATTATTGCATTTGAATAAATCTAATTAAAATATCAAATTCTAACATTAAAATACAATAATGTAAAGCACCTCTAATTAATATTATGATTTTGACTTATAATTCCAACAGTTACCTAACTAAATTTTGTTCTCGTAGTTGCAGTCCATAAAAAATAAGATCTAGTTTGTAATAAAATACCTACGGCACTGGCTCACATCTAGGGATTTTTATTTTCACCAATCGCTGTCATGACGATTTGGTCACGTGGGTTTTCGGTATTGTTGAAGACCCAGTATGAGTCACGATGGAATCTAGAGACAGATAGTCTTGACCGATGGGATAAGCTCTTTAAAGTTTGCTTTTATTTTGTACAAAAATCAAAGTTAGGTTGAGGATTAGGTTAACACTAGGTGAATATTTCTTTATTATCTAATATAGAAATCAAAGAAGTCCAGAAAGAAATTAAACATGTCGGTGTGGATGCATTAAATTCAATAAAGATTCGTTAAGTTCCTTATGTTGATTCATAACATTTTTGAGCATCAGGAACTGCTGAGTCGCCAGCTCTTGTAGTTAACCCAGTTGTTCAAGAAAATACTCGCAAACCCCGTAAATCGTGTACCTCTCGGCAAATTTTTTCTTGTCTGCCGCTGTCCCAACTTTGTCACTTGAAGATGATCGTATGCTGTTGCGTTCTTAATTGGTGAAAACGACTAAGAAAAAAAAAATACATGAGCCAGATAACAAATTTTTAAAAAATTACGTTAATATATGGGTAAACACTGAATGGACACCAGAAACGAAAACAAAATACCAAGAACTTGCGGACAAAAAAATTCGAACGACATGAAAACGAAAACACAGAATGGACACCAGAAAAGAAATCAAAATACCAAGAACACAAGGATAAAGAATTCGAACAACATGAAACCGAAAATACTAAATGTACACCAAAA